AATAAATGCAAAACTATCACAGAGAGACTTTGTGAAACTATGAGAAATAAAGTCCAGCGTTAAATCTGTTAAAATCAGAAACGTAAAAACAGTAAAACCCAACACAAACATAACACTGGAGGTGAAACAGACTGAATCTAAACAATTAGAAAGTCGATTAAAAGCCCCGACGTGCTCTTTTAATTCCTTATCCTTATAAATAACCGAAGGCCTGAGGTGTGAATGTGGCTCACGGTGCGTCCTCAGCCAGCACTCTGCCGCCTCAGCACTTTGGGCGTGTTTGTTTTCTCCTTCCTGTCCCCCCCGCCGCCTCCAATATGGTGCTGCAGGACGGAGCAGCAGCAGGTCGGCCAGGTATCCGTACGGGGCTGCTGGCGACCAGGCCTGCACGCTAAGCACACGCCAAGTTGTTTTCTACGGGAAGCGGCAGGAATAATAATAAAAACCCCAAAGCCTGAACAGAAGCTGTTAAACGCTTCATGCTTCTCTCTTCTGTTTTATATTCAAAGTTTGTGCTGCAACTGTTTTGTCAATAAAACGAGGAACAACAACGGAAACAGCTCGAGATGTTAAATGTCCCGTTTTAGACAAAGAAAACCGTAAAACCCTCACATCAGAGAACAAAGCTGTTTGCAAAGCTTTTGGCTGTTTAAACAAATCAAATATTTCATCACCAAATATCTGATAATTAGCTGCCTTGTTGCCAAAAGACTTCATAAATTAATTTATAGACCAAAAGCACAGAAGAAAACCTGATGTGACAAAAGGTGGGATGTGACCGATTTGTTCTGGAAGAGACAAAATGAGACAAAGAGACGAAAAATAACCACAAAGAGGAATAAAACGACTTTAAGGCGACACAAAACGACCACAAAGAGACAGAAAAAAAACACAAAGAGACACAAAACATCCACAAAGAGACACAAAACGACCACAAAGAGACACAAAACATCCACAAAGAGACACAAAACGACCACAAAGAGACACAAAACTACCACAAAGAGACACAAAACATCCACAAAAACAAGGGAATCTGTTCAGAACAGAAACAGGATTTAAACAATTTTAGTAGTTAATTGCCTAAACGCTACAAAAACAGCGGACTGGTCCTTTATAATGAGATCTGATCTGAGACAGGAAGTGTACGTCTGCAGTGGTTCCTTCCTGTTGTAAACATGTGACCGTCCATGTCTGACCTCTCACATCTACAGACATGATACGATAAAGTGAAGTAAAGTGATGAGGAGTATGTGGACTGCTTCTCAGAAGTCTCTGGAACGTTTCCTAGAAAGAGGAAGAGGAGGACGACCAGGCTCAGCTGCTTGTTACTGCGATGTTCTTCCTCTTCACTTTGTCCTCGTCACATGTCGGAGCCGCTGAGCCTCCCGTCGGCCTGACGGATGCTCCGGTCCGCCGCCTCCACTCAGCTCGGCTCGGCTCGACTCGCGGCCCGGAGACTCACAACCCTTCTGATCAACACGGTTTGACAACAGCAGCATGGACGGACGGACGGACAGCCGGCCGCTGGAGGGAGTTAGTGGGGAAGTTTCCTCACCGACTGGTGCACAGTGTGTGTTCATGTACACAGACCCAGCAGAGCCACAAGTACGTCACTCATGTAAGAGTACCGATACAAATACTCCATTACAGGTAAAAGGTCTGCAGTGACCAGAAGTGTTGGTCGAGTCTGACCAGAAGGATGCCTGTGTTTGTTTATCTATTATTACAAAGAAAAGTACAAAAAACAAGAAGAGCTGC